TGTGCAGACACTTACTTGAAGATTTTTAACCACTTGTAATAAGCCTGAATGTAATCCAAAATAGTTGAGTCTTGCACAGGACTCATACCTTTCCCATACCTTCTGAAATACAAACTCTGTTCTCCTGAAATAAATGCATTAACATGGGAAAACATGGAAAGAGTTATTTTCTCAGCAGACACTGAAGTATAAAATACTCCCCATTTCCACCAGACTTCATTTATCTACTAAATGTCTAAAGTCTCCATCTGACTACTTCATGGGTGGCCAACATTTTGGCTTGCCCAGGCAGCAGTGAGTGGAGAGAAATTGTCTTGGGCTGCATATATATATAGGTCACTCTGAAACTAACACCTCCTACTTATTTCCATGGAAACTACAACAGGTATAAGGAGTGCAGTAACTCTGCTTGATAGAGAAAACTCTCAGCTACAAGACAGTATTTTCAAACACAGCCAGCACCACTAGCTGTGCATCTTCACCAGCAATGACAACAGGCTGCATACCGTGCTCCTCAAAACCTGCAGCAGCAGAGGTGACCCACTGCTGTCATCGCTGCTGAAACACACCACTGCACTCACATTCATTGTTAGGTCTCCTAAACGTTCAGCAAGCATCAATGAATGTCAACAGGCATCATTTCTTTTTTTGCATGAGAGAATTCAGTGGCACACCTTTGCTTCTTCTGTACTTCCATGTCAGACACCATTTTCTCAGACTGTCCCTCTGCTGCCATCTGTCACATAGCAACAAAACGTAAATGGAATGTTGGTGGGAAAGGTCAACCTCTACTGCCATACCACCACCATCCACCTCTGATGTTCTGGGCCAACATAATAAAATAGCAGGCATTACTTTAAGAGCTGCCCTTGTAAAATATGTACTACAGGGAGAACAACAAAAACATAGAACTAGTGGGATATGTAGTCTTGTTTTAGTGAAACTAATGCATCAATTTGATTCAATGGCAGGGGTTGCAAGTCTAAGTGAGTTCTCAAGGTGCTTATCAGAGATTTTCTTAACGAAATATCGCTCCTCCCGTACTTCATTCTTTACAACAGTTGCTCACAAAAGTACATACCGCCAAAAGCAATAGCACAAATAAAGCGTGGCTGTAAGCCAAAGTATGAAAATGCACACAATTATTTGCCATACTTTGAGTTAGCACTGCCCTGGTTGCAGCCCAGACAGTGCCCATCACACACTGATGTTTGGTTGTTGTGAGCAATGGGTGCACACTTGGCCACTCAATAGGGAAGAGCCACCTCCAGGAGAAACGCCACACTGTGAGCCATGTCAGGCCACACAAGGCCCATGGGCTGGACATCAGCTTCTGTTTTTCCTGTTGTGGGAACATCTAGTTTCCTCAGCCTTAGGAATACAGACACTTTTGCTCTACAGCATCGTGCCTCAGCATCAATCCTTCCCGAATGAATCACGTGCCTCTTTGTTCCAGTTTGTCTTCCAAAAATCTCTGCCATGCCCACTAACCTGGATTTTGAGAAATACTGAGTTCCTTTCATATATTACCCATACTGCTGTAAAGACACTTTCATCTTCATTCTCTCTCTGCCTTTTCAAGTCTCAGCTCCAGTGAGTAATTTATTTACATCAGTGAAATACAACAGTCTGGCAGGACAAAGTTCCATACCAGCACCAGAGGCAAAAGCTAGATCCTTCAGTTCAGGAGACAGGAACCCACACTCACAGATCGTGGTTGATGTAAGACAGAAAGCAAAATTTTAAGCCCTACTCTAGCATCTGGACACGAGCTCTGAAAATTACAAGTAACAGGTAATGACTGTTTTCTCTCTTGGCGGAAATGTTGTTCAGAAAGAACTTGACGTCTCTCCCAAATGTTTATTTGTAACTAGAATAAATTCTCTCCTATAGAGCAAGGTTCTGAGAAGTTTTGGTCAGCATTTTTGACCAACCAACCTTTCCCCACAACCTGCCAAAATACACTGTTGGAAAACGCCTCATCAGCTCTTCAGAGGACCTCAGGGCAGGCAAAACATTCTCAGTGCCCAGGGGACACATTGCTACGATAGTTAACACACAGAAATAGAGCAAGTCTTCAAAAGAAAAACAACAACAACAAAAAACCCAGTATCTTAGCACAGCGCTAATCCCTTTATTATTATAAAAATCTATAATTACATATTGTTGCTTAAGGACTCTGTGCCTTTGAGAAAGCTTCAAGTCTGCACGCAGTAAGCCAGCTATGGCAAGAAATCATTTTAATTCCATAAAATTCTAGGATGGCCACAAATTTAAGCAGACTTCATCTTTACAGAAGTCATCAAGTTCAAAGACACTGTCAATTCAACATCCAGGCAAACTTTTGTTGTTAAGACAGCAGACTTAAGCCTCCAAATATCAGCATTATCAAGTATCTGACACGAATCAAATGTCCTATTGTCCCTCCCTGTGCTATACTTCAGTGACTCACCTTCTCTTAAACAGAGATACATATTTTAACACAATATAATTTCCTCAAGTGACAGATTCACTATCCAAACACAAACCAAGCAGCATAACTTTGACCTTTGGGGTTAAAATTATTTACTAGCTGCCAAGTCGATTTGTGCAATTACATTCACTGACAGATATCCTCTGTTCTTCTCCAACTATTCAACACTTCAGAATCGGGACAGTTTGTAAGAGCTAAACTAACTGAAGCCCACACAAAAGTACCAGGAAGTGCTTTTAGGCAGCTTTGCACCACAATGTTACCCACCTCCACTACCAGTGATCTGCTTTTGAACCCTTTCAACTGGCGATAGTCTCATGAGAGCTTTAACTGTGACTGTCTGCACTGCTTAAACAAGCACCTGAACTGTGTCTCTCTGGGTAGCTTTTCTCTGGCCAGCTCTGCACCCTGGACATCAGCTAAGTGCAAGTGCTTAAGAATAAGATGCATGAAATTTCTAGCTAGCAACGTCAAATGAAATTAGGAGGATTAACAAGCCATACAGTGTGACCGGATTCCAACAAGTGCTATTCATTTATTGAAACCCAGAGCTGAGGAAAATTATCCTATTTTTAGAATCCTTTTCAGACATAATAGAGCACCACTCAGAAAATTAAGTCAGAACATCTCCTTTTAGGCGGAAACACGTCGACAGAAAGAGAGAAGTTTTTAAATTAAGAACAGTATTATCCATGTTGCTGCTTATTCTAATCTTAACTTTCACTCAAAATGTTATGTTGGTAGTCAGAAAGATGAGGACAGCGTTGGAAGAGTCAACTGAACAGAACTAAGCCACTACCTGCTCATAAGTATTACTTGCAGGGCCATTGGAATCCTGACTCCCACTATTCATCTGAGAGATTAAATACCACAGCCATTGGCTGTGAAACACTTCTCTCTGATACTTCTTGCTGAGCTGCAATCCTCCTGCTCTGCTTCCTTATATGGCTCTTTATTAAGCCCAAAGGAAGTTTAAGTTTCTGCAACTCAAAATAAAGATAGTTATCAGTGTTTGGTAGCGTGGTTGAGCAATCTGTTAATTCAGACTGGTCATCTCTTAGCATCACAGGGGAGAAAAACAAACTTTGCTCAGGCTGGAAACAAGTGAAGCAGTTTAGGGACACACATCCTAGGCTGGTGTTCAGTTCCATTGGATTTGTTCTAGAAGTGCTGAACTATAAATGCAGAGCACAAGAAAAACATCATGCCAGCATGTCTAAGAGTTCTGCATCATGATCAGTTCATTTGAGGATGCCATTTTCAAGAGAAATAAACTCAAGATGTAAAGGACTGAGAAAAGGCTATTGCTGCAGTTTACTCTGCTAAAGGGATGTTTCAGAGTACACAGGGTGCCATCAAACAAGTCCTGACACTGTATTTTCCACTAAATATCCAGCACTGAAAGCTGTGATGATGATAAAAAAAAAAGAAGATTCAGAAAGCTATCTTACTGCTTTAAACCAAAATTCAGTATCTTTTAGGACAACAATCTGTAGTTACGAAGAGGAACTGCAGGGTGATATCTTGCTAAGAGATAATCAGTTAGATCATCACAATCTTTAGCTTATGGCCAGGAAGGAGTAACTTCAGAAGAGAAAGTACAGCTTTTTTAATTTTTAAGTTCTGAAGTTCTTACTTGATTTGGAAACATTTATACACCTTTCTGATAAGGCTGAGAAAAACCTCCTCAGAAGTCCTGTAGTACAACAGAATTCGGTAGAGCCCAGCCTGCAGATAGCGTCCATCTAATCTGTGAACAAAAAGCTATGGATAAGGAGATTCAGAGTGAAAGAGTAGGGCAGATGCTCTACAGATTACAGGGGCTGTAAATTTATGGTGTTTAATAAATTATATTTGGTACAATTGAACTCTTATTCCACATAATCTTTAGTCAAAGTTCACTCAAAACTGAAGCTAAATAGTGACAGTAAGAAATCATTTAACATCTAAACTCAGATTTAACATCTAAGAACAGATGGTAACTGAGTGCCACATCAACTTGCCAGCAAAAGCAAGACAAGAAACATGAATAACTTTATATACACACAGAGTATCACATAACTGGTCCAACATAGGAACCAGTTTCCAGTGGCTGAGCATCTCCAAATTTTCTTTTGCATCAAGTAAAATACGGCAAACAGAACACATTACTGACACCATGCAAACACCTACATCCAGAAGGCAGCTGCTTCTTAGTCTGAAAATGACCCCCCTGTGATAGGAAAAAAAAAAAAAAAAACAGTACCAAGAGCTTCCATTTCCCCAATTTAGTCAATTTTCCTTCTATACAAAGAACATGAAATAGTATCAAGAAAGAATTTAAGAACAAAAATAGTAATCATTTTCTTAAGTAATCCAAAAGAAATGAGATTCAGTCCACCTAACATTACAGGTTCATGTTACGTTTCACTATTTATATTAAAGCCACAGCTGATGCCTAGTATATAATTATGTTAAAAATAAGTTTCAAGGAAGCATTAGTAGTTACATTTGTTCCACGAAATGAAAGAAGCAACAGCCTTCACAATGAACAAAAAATTTTTTCCTTGTAGCTATTCTATGTTTTAAGCAAGACAGTGTCTAAATTCAGAGAATTCTTGATGTTTTAACTGCAGACGAATTAAATGCTGTCCTATTTATAACCAAAGAGTCCAAAGGCATATTTCAATAGCATCCATTTTTACATTATGTGATATGAAGGCAGTCAGTTGCGCTCAGATTGCTGCTTGCATCACTGTGCCATGGCCTTTAAGCTGGAATCCGAGAAGATCTCACCCTGACCTCCATGTTTCCATGAAGAAGCTTTCTACATTGTTATATAAACCAGCTTTTAAGTTCTTTTGTTGACTATAGAAGACAGCTTTTCTTTAGCTTAATAGTTCCCTAAACACAGCTTTTTCTGCATTTCGTGATTGAATTGTTCCACAATTCACTGCGACACTTCTTGATATCTCAGTCATCGTCTTGCTGATTTCTTTTCTGTCAAAAGAAAATTCACAATGTTAGGATACAGTTCCCTGCCTATAGCAGGGGTTGGAACTAGGTGATCTTAAAGGTCCCTTCCAACCTAAACTATTCTATAATACAATTTGTGAAGTGAGAGCACTAATAAATCACAAGTATCAAAGATAAAATGGATATTAGACAACGACCACATTTCTAAGCTATTTTTGAATGGTATAAGAGAATGTTTCCAGCAATGGCAGCTCTCTCCCTCATCCCAAACTACTGGATTTTATTTAGACCAAAGAACAAGATTTGCACACCCGATTAACTAACTGGTAGAACTCAGTAATCAGGATGAAGGCAATCTGCCTTCTCTCCCCACACGTAAAAGAGTCACATTCCCTAGTCACTATTATTGAAGGAAGAAAGGAATCACGTTTTTCCTAATATATTTATCTTGCAACTTTTAAAGAAGTTCTGAGGTGCAACAACTTCAGCTATTAAAAATATATATTTCCATTTAGACTACATTTATATTTACATTTCAACAAAAAAAGAAACCCACAAGGTTCTTGAGTGTGACTTGTCAAACTACACTCATTGCTTCCCCTAAAGACAAAATTAATTAAATGAAGTGAGATCAAAAGGAGAGCTTGCTCTTCCTCAATGAAAGAAAATACATGCATACATACATACAGAACCAACCCATACATTTTATATGTAAACACGTAACCTATGCTAATTACAAAAGCAGTTTCAGGCACTTAGATGTTACCACTTTACAGGGATAGTAAGTAAAAATTTTCTGGTAACTCTTACCAGTTTAAGGAAGTCAATTAATTTGTGAACATCCTCTCCTGTAGACAGGTCCACAAAATCCTTTGGCAGTCGGTAACTCAGGTATGGGCTGGGCTGGACAGTAACTTGACTGTTTGTACAACGAAAAACTGGACAGTCCTTTGGAAAAGAATGATGGATAAGGCAAAAACAGTGTCTGAGTAAAACCAGGAACAGCATTTGAACTCCTCCATTATAGTGCCTGAGTCACCTTGCAGCAGAGCTTATTTAGCTTGCAGTCGACTAACCTTGCACTTTTTAACAATTCTATGTTTTGTCATTAAAAACCGTGCAATTAAAAGCAAGAGTTAAAATGTTACCAACAGTCAAATACATTCATTTCCTCACTTCAAAGTTAAAATATGATAGAAATGTGTTTAATATGTATATTTATAATGGTGCCATAGCAATGGAGCTATCAGGAAATCTACGTGACTATGTGTAAAAGAAAAAGTTTACAGTAACACCTCTAAGCCCCTTTTCATAGGTTCTTTCTTTAAACCCATGTTTGTATTATCAAAACCATGATCTAAGCTTTCTGAGCAATTTATTCACTGAAGGTAAAAATACAACACTCAAAAGTATCTCTAAATTCTCAATTCTAGCAGGTTTAACTTAATATAAATTTCACTTTAATCTATTATATATTTTAGATACTCTAGAACTGACAAGCAATACAATTGCTAATTGCATGGCAGTAGGTAACTTCATTTTAAAGGAAGTTCAGTAACTTTACAACAGATTTTACTACTGCATGCAAGTTTCAGCATGAAGAAAAGTGATTCTACTCTTCATTCAGGCTTATACCAGAAAAATTATGTAAACCACTTGGCACCCAGAAAAATAAATCCACAAAACAAAATTCAGGTGCTCCATGGAAAGCTGGAACTGGGAATGTGCTTTAACAAGGGAGACAGCTTCCAGCAGAAGAGATCGCTGAATTTACACACACCATGAGACTAAGAGAAAACAGTAGTTTATTTCCCTTTCAATGTTATGAAGATGGTGATGGTACCAAAGCAAAGCTCAAATAACCTCAATAATGTCACTTCAGTTACAGTTACAAAGAGAAGCCCACAGTATCTGACTAGTCATCTCTCAGACAAATAGCAAGTACTTCATAAGATCATACTAGCTTTCTCTCTTCTACCCAGCCACTCATAAGAACCCACTTAGATGTGAGGACTTGTCTCAATCACACAACAAGGAAGAAGCTGGAGAACAAATAAAAGACTCTTCCTTCCTCCAAATTAATGGGAAGTTATTTGTTTTCACACAGAGAATAGCTTAGAACAGGGATAAAACGGCATTGTTCTGCAAGTCCAGGGAGTCCAACCAAAGGACAAAGTGTCCCACAGAGTGTTCAATATGAGGAGGATACAGAAATTAAGCTTCTTCTTGCTTCCTATCAAATATGAATAAACAAAACAGAACTTCAAGCAAATAAACAGAAAAGCAACAGATTTTAAAAGAAATTGAAAAGAGTGGAACAAATTTAAAATACACTAGAACTGAGTGAAAGCAATTTTCAGGGCATCTTCCTCACAATGAGGTCAAAACTGCAATATGGGCTTGTATGGTTTGAAGTACAAATTCCCTCGTAGGCATTTAACACTAGCAGGTGCTGCTTACTGAGATAAACTACTGTCAGAAAGATAGATTGATTCTACTCACAAAGAGTTTACATTTCAAGAGCTGAGGACTTTCATTTACTTCAGTGGGATTTGCACCATAATTCAGTTATGAAAAAAGAAGCAGCAGAGGCCCTAATGCCTTCTGGATTTGCTAGCCAGCTCCCTAGCAGCAGAGCTGTACCTGTTCTGTTGCTTCCCCTTCACTCTGGTCGCCTTTCAGATTTCTCCCAGAGGTCAGTTCATCCCACGTAAACAGCAGTGAGTCTGTTACTTCTCCAAATGGATTAAAATCTATTAACCAAATCTTACCCTGCAATGTAACAACAGAAGAATTAAAACAAGTCACATAGTTTTAAATAGAGCCAGAACATGCATGCACTTATACTACTGTAATATGCCTGGTCTTTAGAGACAAAAATAGATGCCAAAACTGAAAGCATCTGTTCTTACATGCTGAAAATATTGTAACATACTTTACATTAGGCAAACAGTTTTAAAACACAGCAAGCTCTGGCTTTATATTTTTATTATTACTATTATTATTTTTGACAGAAGATCAGACAGAGCTCAAGTAAACTGAATTCAGCTCTACATAACGTGCAGTTCTATGCCAAGGTGAAACCACAGAAATCCTCCATGATCTCCAGACAGCATGAACAAGGAAGAGAAAAAAAAGAAATACAAAGAAATAAAACCCAGGTATTTCGCTTTCCATCAAAAGTCACCTCAGCACTCCTATACATTCAGCAGCCTGAAAGGATTGCTATTCTTGTTCTCAGAACGGACTGTAAAAATACAGAGCAAGGCCTGCAATTTGCTGGTGGAGATCATGAAAGCTGAAAGATGCTGCATAGATATAGATTGAAAAAACCACAAGGGCATTTTTAATATAACCCTTAGTAGTCCAGGCTAATTTTTCCTGCCATACCTCCAACATATTCATATGTCAAACAGTTCTGGTAGTGTGCACAAGAGCACGCCTATTCTACAAGTGAAGAACGTACGCAGAGAGATTGACATGACTTATTAAAGGTAACAGAAGTCTGCCAAGGAGCAAGAAAGGACTTGTGTTCCTTGAGCCATCTCAAGATAGCCCTGTGCTGAAGCTGCACCTCTTCTTACCCAAGGAAGCGTCATCCAATAAAACAAAAACTTCATAACAAAATATGAATACAGGTGGTACTGAGAACTAGCAAAACACCTGCCACACACAGAAGAAGTCAGATCTTCCAAACAGGGAGACGAAGGTTTCTGAAACATCAGTGGGATGATGGATTGATGGGATTTACTTTATTAAAAACCAACTGGAAATCACACCTGAGAACTGTGCAGTTACTAAAAAAATTTGCTTTCCTTTACTCACTCTCCTTCCTGAATGATCTTCTGTCTTTAAAAGATCCTATCTTGATGCAAACTTCAATGTATCTTTAACTATTATACCACAGCCATCTGTTTTCTAACATGTAGATTCATTCCTTTGAAGCCTTCAGTCGTAGAGTAACATGGAGATTTCCACCCACACCACCTAAGCCACGCTCACAGCATTTAAGTGCTGTAGAGTAAGAAACGAATATAAACCCATACAACAGCAGAGAACTGCTAGAGGCTAAAAACAGTCTGTCACAACCTATACTGAGTTACTAATGCAGGTTGGGGAAGTCCCACCACAAATGAAACCAGCAATATTTCTTGTAAATGGGAGCTGTGCCAACACAGCAACCTGGCTGTGCACAGACCTGTAGTGGTCTGCCTCTCAGGGTAGATCAATTGGGTACAGCTGTCTCAAAGCAAGTTTTAAGAAGCCAGAGAACTGTAAGAGCAGTGCTAAAACAGACAGCTACAAAAGAAACTGGGAACCGCAAGGACACAGACCTGAACTGTTTCTTACTTGTTATGGAAGAATGTAACAGCACAGACCTGCATGGCTAAATTGGAAAACCTGTGAACCAAAACTGACACCACTACCACAGACAGCAAAAAGGGACAAGCTCTGCTATCATTTTGCTTCTCTGTTCCTCCCAGAAACAGAGTCACAAACTCTCATTATAAGCAATGAGAAAAAGCAACTTTTGTTAATGGGAACATCTCACTAGGCATCAGAAGGAGGAATCTGAAATTCACATGCATTTTATAACTCTAGAAAAACAAATTAATGGACCAATTTAATCACAGACAGAAGCAATGGCTGGCAAAGTTCATTCTGCAGTTCAGAGAATCTTTCCTTGCATCAGAAATGTTTACACTCAATAAAGGATTTCCCCATGACAGGCTTTCTCAGAGTCTTTTTCTCACCCCAAATACATGAAACTTCTTTTTTCCATAAATAGGAATTCAAGATTTCTTGGGGAAAAGGTGTACCTGGAAAAAAAACAAACCTGAAAAACATTTTTGACTACTGAAAGGAACATCTGTCTGCTCAGGTGCTCACAGAAACATTTCTCCCTCTCTCTGCAGACAGTGGTACTCCAACTGCAACACCTCGAGACCATCTTAAATCTACGCTGAGCTCCATTAGTTGCAAATGGATGGAAAGTGGCCAACAACATCCTTTCTCAGGTTTCATTAAAGGGAATGTACATAGCTCTGGGTGAGTAACTAAACCGTATTTTCTCTAAGTAAAATATCCATTCAAGTCCTACTTTGAATTTTATGATTTAAATGCCATTTGAGGTGATACACACTGTGTATCTAAAGAGCAATAGTACAGCTATTTATCTGCAGTCTTCTGGCATCTTTACCATATGAGAGAACAGAATTGCACAAGCCAGAGAAGCAAGGCTGTTCTTATCTGGATTAAAAAAAAAAATCATGTTATTACATAACTTTTTTTTCCCCTCATCCTAAAACAGGAACCGATAGATTTACCGTATCATGACAGCTTCATGTTTTGTTTTTCTAAAGCATTAAGCAGTATGCTGCTGAAAGGAAATGCTTGTGACAAAGACTGTTTAAAGGAAGTTAAAAGATAAAATGCAAACAAAACTGTTACATTTCCCTAGCTTCAGCTGCACCTGCAAGCACACTGACAGTGCTCACAAGGCAGATAGATGCTAGTGCTGGTTTGCATGTTAACAAGAAGAGAGTTGGTGATTTGCAGTGGCCTGAAGCTTTGCACTGGTCTTCCGTAACACAGTGACTTGTCTTGAACATGGTTACAAGGCGTAGAACTTGTAAGAGGTATTACCAGAAGCAACAGCAGAGCTGAAACTCTTGTCAGCTGTTGTGCAAAAAAAGCCAATCCAAATGGAAACAGGCTACTGGTCCTCCAACATGACCTCTCTAGGGCAAGGTATTCAGATCATCCAGCTTTGAAAACTGTATAACAGCATTTCTGCCTTAAAAGAAGGTCTGTCTGCCAAACCAGGTACTAGCTCAGAAGAGCTCAGTGAAGAGAGAGTAAAAGGAAAGGTCAGCCACAGAAAAGTTCGCCCTCAAACCAGGGCACTGTCATTCCAACTCAATAAGCTGGACCTGTGGCAGACCACTCTGCAGCCTCTCAAGCAACTGCAGAACAGGTGGAGTGGCTTGCTCTCTTCCACAGCCACAGTAAGGAAACAAGCTTCTCCAAGTGGAATATTTTAGAGTTGAAAGAATTTAAAATAAGCAGACATCGGACATTTCTTTCATTCTGTAGGTGAGGTTGCCATGCAACCAGCCCAAGGAAGAGCATGGGCTCTGGAAATTAATCAGATTCAGCAATACTCAATATTCTTTTGCTGCCTATATCTCACATACAAAGGGAGCAATGAATAATACAATTGCAAACCACAGAAGTATGTGTGAAAGGAGGAGGATTTGACACACAAAGGATTATCTGGCAGTTTACAAGACTCGAGGGTAGAAGGCACTGAGAGTTATCTACAAACAGATATATTCTATCCTGACAGATGAAGAAACACTGTTTATTTGAGATCACAGAGGCTGAAGCCTCTTACTTAAATAAACTGTCTTCACACTTCAGTTGTGAGGCAGAGTACCCAAAAGCAGGGCTTGGTTAGATGCTGAAGCACTGCTCCTTGTTTCATCTGACAGCATCCTCACATCTGATGGTTTGAATCCAGGCAGGTAAGTTTCACATGCCATTCAGCATGGCTGCTTTTAGCCTGACTCTGGATACTTACAGTGAAAGCTGGGCTCAGTAACAATACAGTAATTTTCCACATCACACATTTCTTTTGTTTCTGTTTCACGAACTACGGCATGATTTACTATTACACAATTACAAAATACTTCATCAGAAATCAAAGTTTTTATACAAACTAAGTACAAATATTCCTAACTTAACTCAGTGACTGAATGTCATTCCTAAAATCAGCTTTTGGATTTTTCAGTTGTGGACTCCTTTAAGACAATATGTACGTGCTGTTAGAGCATAGCTCACATGACCTGTTTCTGTAGGTTGACACTAGGAGAAGTGAAGGTGGCTAGCATTTCAAGTTAGGATGGGACATCTCTCCCCATTCTGTCACTATCTGCATGCTCAGTGTTTCAACTTGCTGAGCACTCAACCACAGCTGGAACAATTTGAACAGGAAAAAAAAAATAGCTTCCATCTGCTTTAAACTGGGAATACAACAATCATATACTCTCTTGATGATCGTTCCTTTGTATCCTAGAGTAAGAGTTATTTTTTCAACTGCTGAAGAACATTCTAAAGAAATGATTAACTTTGATGAGTTCAGATGCTATAGGGATATTTTTATTTTATTTTTTTAAGAAAAACTGCTAAGAATCTACTGAATTTCTTTTAGTGAGCAAAACATCACCCTCCTCATTTTTTGAAATAGACTACTAATTCCAGCTGAACTCTTAGTTACATTTCTGTCAAAACCACCTATAGTAGGCACTACATAGAGTGAGCAGTGCTTCACTTAAGCTATTTACCATAGAATCCTTAGACCTAGAAGGAACCTTTAAATGCCATCTACTCCAACTCTCCTGCAGTGAACAGGAACACCTACAGCTACATCAGGTTGCCCAGGGTCTTACCCATCCTCGCCTTGAAAGTCTTCAGGGAAAGGGCATCAATCACATCTCTGGGCAACCTGTTCCAGTGTCTCACCACCCTCACCAGGAAACTTTTTCCTTGTATCCAACTTAAATCTATCCTCTTTAAGCTTGAAGCCATTTTCCCTTGTTCTGTCACCACAGACCCTGCTAAAGAGTCTGCCCCCTTCTTTCCTCTAGCTCCCCGTTAGATACTGAAAGATCACACTCAGGTCACCTCACAGCCTTTTCATCTCCAGATTAAACAGCCCCAGCTCTCTCAGCCTGTCCTCATAGGAGAGGTGTTCCATCCCTTGGATCACCTTTGTAGCTCTCCCTCATGCAAGATCTTGCATTCATATTTGTTGAATCTCACAAGGTTCTCCTAGGCCCACAGTTCAAGCCTGTCTAGGGGTCCCTCTGAATGGCATCCCATCTGGTAATACTATACCAGTATTTATCTTAAAGACATCTAAATTGCCTTCAATAGAATGAAATTCCAAGAATCATAGACTGCCTTGAGTTAGAAGGGACCTTAAAGACCATCTAGTTCCAAGCCCTGCTGCAGACAGGATTGCCATCCACCAGCTTAGGGCTCCATCCAACCTGACCTTGAATACCTCCAGGCATAGGGCATCCCTCAGTTTCTCTGGGCAGCAGTGCCAGTGCCTCACAACCCTCAAAGTAAAGAATATCTTCCTACCACCTGAATTCTAGTTTAAAGACATTCCCTCCCTGTTCTATCACAAGCAGACTGTTTATAAAGTCAGTCTCCCTTCTGTTTCTAATGGTTCAATTAGAATAGATTAGGAATTGGCTAGATGCAGCCAAAGAGCTGTGATCAATGGTTCTGTGTCAGGTGGAGGCTGGTCACAAGCAGTGCCCCTCAAGGGTCAGTCTTGGACCGGTGCTCTTCAACATCTTCATCAGTGACACAGATGATGGCAGAGTGCACCCTCAGTAGGTTTGCGGATGACAGCAGCTGAGCGGTGCGGTCCACACACTGGAAGGAAGGGAAGCCATCCAGAGGGACCTGGACAGGCTGGTGAAGTGGGCCCCTGAAAACCCAATGAGGTTCAACAAGGCCAAGAGCAGGGCACTACACGCAGGTCGGGGCAATCCCAGGTATTTATACAAAGTGGGGGGGAGACCCCCTGGAGAGCAGCCCGTGGAGAAGGATTTGGGGGGTCTGGTAGATGAGAAGCTGGACATGAGCCAGCAGTGTGTGCCTGCAGCACAGGTGGCCAACTGTGTTCTGTGCTGCATTTAAAAAAGAGGTGGCCATCAGGGAGAGGGAGGTGATTGTCCCCCTCTACTCAGCTCTTGTGAGGCCCCATCTGCAGTACTGCATCCAGGCCTGGGGTCCCCAGCACAGGAAGGATGTGGAGCTCTTGGAGCAGGTCCAGAGGAGGGCACTAAGATGATCAGAGGGCTGGAGCACCTCTCCTATGGGGAAAGGTTGAAGGAACTGGGCTTGTTTAGCTTGGAGATGAGAAGGCTTTGGGGAGACCTCATTGTGGCCTTCCAGTTCTTGAAGGGGAGCACATAAACAGGAGGGGGAACGGCTGTTTAATAGGGTGGATAGTGATAGGACAAGGGGAATGGTTTTAAACTGGAGGAGAGTTTTAGGTTAGATATTTGAAGGAAATTTTTCACACAGAGGGTGGTGAAACACTGGAACAGGTTGCCCAAGGAGGCTGTGGATGCCCCATTCCTGCAGGCATTTAAGGCCAGGCTGGATGTGGCTCTGGGCAGCCTGGGCTGGTGGTTGGCGACCCTGCACATAGCACGGGGTTGGAACTGGATGATCATTGTGGTCCTTTTCAACCCAGGCCATTCTGTGATTCTACGATCCCTCCAATTACTGGAAGGCTACGAAGAGGTCTCTCCAGAGCTTCTATTCTCCAGGCTGTACAAGCCCATCTCTGAGCTTTTCTTCGTAGGAGAGGTGCTCCAGCCCTCTGATCATCTTCACAGTCCTCCTCTGGACACAAATTCAGGCACAGCTGTAGCTGAAACTAAAGTTATGTGCTTGAAGACAGACTACTTGTCTGAAAGAAAATATTTACTAAATAATCACATCACTGGCGAAGACATACTTACAACCCTAACTCTATCGCTATCCTCCCATTGACAGTATCAAACATTGAAAAGGAATTCAGGAACAGAACTGATAAAACCAAGTAGCTTTTTTTTTTTTTTTTTTTTTTTTTGCCAGGATCACTTCTAGGAAGAAGCAGCTACTCTTTGACTCCTCTTACTAGGGTTTCAGGTACAGCTTCCACAGAACAAACAATTAATTGCTAAGCAAATAAACAATCTGTTGTTCACTTACCCTGCTGTCTCGGTACACATCAAAAACAACTGAAAAAGAGAGGAAAAAAAAAAAGTTAACCTTGAAAGACACAATTTCCCAGAAGATGTCAAAAACTCTCCTGGAGAAGAGAAGGCCACAGGGAGACCTCATTACAGCCTTTCAATATTTAAAGGGAGATTATAAACAGGAGGAAAAATAACTTTTTACACAGACAGATAACGAGTAGACGGGGGAAATGGTTTTAAATGAAAGGAGGAGAGAGTTCAGATTAGATGTCAGAGGAATTTTTCCTCTGAGGGGATGTTGAGGTGCTGCCACAGGCTGCCCAGAGAGGTTGTGGATGCCTCATCCCTGAAAGCATTCAAAGACAGGCTGCACGGGGCCCCGGGCAACCCACTCTAGTACTTGACCTATCAGCTGGCAACCCTGCCTGTGACAGGGAGGTCGGAACTTGATGATCTGTGAGGTCCCTTCCAACCCAAGCCATTCTGTGATTCTAAATACATACTCTTGTACACTACACAACTGGCAAAGTCAATACATCTACAGAACTGCACGCCAGAATTAGGTTAATTTCCAAGAGGAAGTTGAAAATTTTCAAGAACTATTGTTAATACACTGATACAGTGTCTGCTGGGCTTTTTCATTTAATTCTGGCTTGTTTTGTTCATTTTTCCTCCCAATGGAGATCATCAGATAAACTCTTAGCACAGAGAAAAGCTTGTCGCCTACATTACTGCTGTTTGTTTTACAGCAGAACTGAGACATTTCATGGAAGGATAGGCCTGCACTGTGCTAGACATCACATTTAATGAGAGAAAGATCCTGCTTCAAAAAAGGTTAGGACTTCAGCAGATAACAAGACTAACAGGTTGTAGGAACAAAGGGGTCAGTGGGCATGCTGAGGATGAGGCACAGAAAGGGCTATGCTTAAAGTCACACAGAGCAGACACTGCACACCTACTGGTTATCAACAGCTCTTTCAAAAAATCTCTGCTACTCAGTGATTTAAGTCATTCTGCCTTGCGTAGTTACACTAGTGCCACTCCCATTGGTTAATTAAGCACAAATCTTTGCACATGCTTCTATCTGTTAGCTTCTGTTCTGTATGGTTAAGCAAACCTTTGATTTGTCTTTCTATTCATTTATGGAAAAATCTACAGATAAGCATTCAGGCATGAGTGCATGCAGAAACGGTACCAGTTCAGCAGAGGAAAGAAAAGCCAGAATTAGAAAACACTCAGACAAATGCTGCATTGTCACTTTCTTCACTAATGAGGAAGGGAATATTTCAGCTAAGAGATTTCCCAATCCACATAAGATAAACTGAACTCAGGATATGACTAAAGAATACTTGAGCCCCAGCAGCTCCTCAGGAAGTTGCCTGTCAATAGCAGACAAGTTGATAGATCTTGTCCATGCATATAAAGCTACTCAGCAGCTTAACCTCATGCTTTGCGCCAAGTTGGCTGCACAAAGGCAAAACTCAGGGCCAAAACCAGTCATATCATTGTTTTTGACCATAAAGCCTAGAAATCTTTTTGCACAAGCTCAGTTACATCAATTTAAAATGACCCTCTAGAATTAAGTGCTGTGACTTTCTCAGTAAGACAAACCCACAGTGACTAAGTCACCAATGCCAGGATAAGCACAGCAGCTCTAGATTTCTTCCACAGCTGTTCAACTGAACTTGTTGCTTGTACTGTGTTCAACAGAAAACCTTTTCATCCGAGTTCCATTATAAAACAATGCCTGTCAGCTTGGAGCAAGCCTATGGCAGCAGTGATCATTAATCATTGAGACTGAGTGGGATTTACAACCCCATTAAGACTGATTGCACATTGGTGACTAATTTAAGACACTGATTAACAGCAAACAGAGAGGAAAACTTGCACTGTTCCTTCTTTAGGGACCAACTGAGGAGCAGCGAGCTGCGTGCCAGTGAGACTGGAGTAAAACTTAACCACCAATTGCTTAGAACTGAATGCAAATGAAGGTGTGGCTCTGTGGCAAACATCAATACCTCTGGAGGACTTCTTTCACTGGGCTCCTATGAAAGGATTTTAGAAGGTTCTATCATCATTTAAAAGTATTTAAAATGCATTTGCCCATCTGTTATCTTACTGCTCCAACTCCGCTGTGCTTCAGCTGCTCTGACTCAATTCTTCCATCTGGAGATACTAACAGACCAACTGGAAAAAGCAGAGCAAACAGCACTGAAAGCCCCAACGAAGCAAGGAGTCAGGGAAAGAGCTACAATACCTTTCCTTCTGACAGCAAACAAAAGCAGACTTTCATTGTTAACAGCAAATATGCTGCTAGACAGTGGAAACAGAGATATGGTTGGGGGTAAGGAAGGTATGGGGAAAAAAAACCTGCAGAAAATGTTTCCTGTATGGCATTTCTCTGCAGCAGGAAGGGTTACCCATGTTTTGTGCCCAAGACCAAAGGCTAACAAACCTCCATCCCAGAAGGCGACCCTGAAACCTCATTTCCCTAGAAGGTAATTTGGATGGCACAGTTTAACCTACTTTACATAGGATAACACTTCAGACCTTTCAGTTTACTACGCAGCAGAACTGAAATCTGGGCACCAATTTCTAAAAATAGTGCCCTGAATTATTATCTATCAGCTGATTACATACAAGCTGAAATTATGATGGGACACAGAGGAAATTGAAACAGTAATCATAATGTCAGATCTGTATGATTGATTTTACTTCAAAATGTTAGGGCTACAGATCTGATAAATTAGTATAATAATTATACGCATTATATCCAGACTGAAATAAAAAGAATCATGCAGAGCCACTTCTTTTTTTTAAATGTCAGTAAAAAAAGACTGGCATTAGAAGGAATCCTTTCAGAAAGTCAGGCAGAAAAGATCTGAGTAACCATGGCACTCAAATAGCAAAATTATTAACCATGTTCAGAGCTTACCTGATGGTTGAATAGTCAACTTTTTATGAAAGACAACACAAGACAATTCTTATGTGCACATGTTACTAAACTGAGGGTTGGTCCACACCAGAACAATATAACTTTCCTCAGTTTTCACCCATCTCGATCACATCACAACAGAACACTACCTTAGTTTCCTGACATGGTTTAGTGAGATTATTACTGATAAAATTTGTAAAGGATTTCATGTTTACAAACTGAGTCGATTTAATTAGGTTGCTTAGGTATGGCAGAATTTCAAATACCATTCCAAAGTTTGAGCAGACAAAATGCTGTACATCAATATTCTAACAGAAACTAGTATAAGTTCTTGAAAATAAACTTCTAGATCTTTTCTTCAGAGAATACACCAATATTTAGCATAAAACATCTTTATAAGTATTTTTCCTTAGTATTGAATGCCTTTTGTTAAGTATTTCTTATCCCGTTACTCAGATGCTGATTTTTTCTTATTTAGAAACAAGCCTAAGGGGGGAAAAGCCTTTAAAGAAAATAAACAGCAAGCAAACACACAAGTAAACAAATCTTTTGTTTGTTAAGTCTTTGTGACTACAAGTGCAGAATGTCCTTAAAAACCTTCCCCAACACCCTCCTCCCCTGCCTATGTTCCCTTTTGTAACTGAAGGCTGAAGATACTTACAGTCTTCATCCAAGAATTTATACTGTATGTGTTTCTTGAAAAACTCCTGTATTGATCTACAGATCTCCTCATGCTGCTTAGAGATATGGTCATAGTACTGAGTATAGTCCCTCTGTGATATACCTGTCAAAAAATTTAATTGATTATGAAGAGCTTCAGACACGGAAAGAACAAACAAATACAGAAAACACACAGCACACAGTTGTCACAGTACACACATTACCATCACCATTTCAAAAGACAGGGTTCTCCCAGCTTTCAACTGTTAACAATGACCTGCTGTTTGGTTTTATTCTCCAGTGCTGGAAGCACTGCCATTACAAACTTTCTCCTTGTACAGTTCTGCCCTGTTTGGTGAACCTCAGTTTACATGCACATGCTCTCACTATTTTTAAATGAGTTTCAGAAGTATTCTTTGCTCAAGTTTACATTTCCATTTGTTGTCTTGCCCTTTCAGTTTCATTCACCCTGTTTACTCCAGTGAAAAACACTTCCATGTGGAAGAGTGAAATGAAAGGGGGAGAGGCCAGGTTTGCCAATTAGCAAAGAGGACAAAATTGAATGTATCATAAAGATTCTCATTTAACCTACTCATTAAGCATGAAATAACACATACCCGTTTGATAAGACACAAGAATTGAAACCTTAAATCCTAGAATTAAAGTGACATATTATCTAGTATCTTTGTGCCCACCTGAGGGCTTTCTTCTGTCTCAGACATTAGATAAATCATCCCAACTACATCACAAGCACTCCATTCAGGCATTTGTTTGAATGCAAGATGATAGTTTATGTCAACATCAACAGGATTAAACACTCGCATCTTAAATGACAAAAGTTCTCATGCAGGATATGTCAACATAAACCACTGCAATACTCTGCTGGACAAACGTCAAACTAAGACCTATGCCTCACCGCAAGATGAGTAACATGTAGTATTTACGGAGGAAAAAAAAAGCCAGAATCCTCCACAGAAGATGCATTAGTGACGGCAGTGTACTCTTCTAACCATACATAAAACACAGAGACTAAGTCTTACTTTAGGACAAAGCTGACCACCTCCAAAGATGAGCTCTTTCAAAAAGTCCATATAAAGTTCACAGCTTAAGCGGAACTTTGAATTATGAATAGCACTGCAAATGTTAAGCCTAAAAGCAAAAAGCAAGAGATGGCAGCGCTGCAGGGGATGCAGACATCTAACTGGAAAAGCACTCACTACACTTTGCAAGTACTGTGCCTTAGCTTGACTGACAGGCTCATTAATTTTAAGAACATGGGAACATATTGTGGAAAAAAACTTGGAAGTGTCTTAGGAAATGCAGTTGGCGTGCTTGTAAAAAACCCATACTGGTAAATTCCCCAGGTTTCAAAACTTAGTAATGCAACGTGCAGAATGTTTAATTAGGCAGAGTAAAATGCCCTGGGGTATTTGAAAGTAAATATCACTCTCTTTCTCAAGCATACATATTATGCACACGTACACATTCTGTAATAGATCTACTTTCAAATGTTTTAGAATTTATTACAGTGATGCATATCACTGGCAGTTGTGTTCTAGAAGCACTTAGAATCATGGAATTATTTAAGTTGGAAGGAACCTTTAGAGGTTATCTAGTCAAACTCCCCTGCAGTGAACAGGGACATCTACAGTGAGATCAGGTCGCTCAGAGCCCCATTCAGTCTCACCATGAATGTCTCCAGGGATGGGGCATCACCACATCTGTGGCAATCTGTTCCTGTGTCTCACCACCTTCACTGTAAAAGACTTTCTGTATATCTAACCTAAATCTACTTTCTTTAAGCTTGAAATTGTTTTCCTTTGCTCTATCACAGCAGATCTTGCTAAAGAGTCTGTCCACTTCTTTCCTCTGTCTCCTTTAGATACTGAAATGCTGCTCTCAGGTCACCTTGGAGCCTTCTCTTCTCCAGGCTGAATAGAATCATAAAAATCACTCAACAGGACAGGATTCTGCTCTTCCTCTTTCAACAAGTTACGTCAATACCATTAAGTAATGCAGGATTAATGGATAACCTCAGCTAGTAGTAAAATAAACTCTGTTACAAAGAAGTACAATAAAGCCTGCAATTGGCATGAACAGACAACACTCAGATCAGCAGATCCCCAAAAAGTCTTCATGCAGTTCATAGAACACCTGATCAAGAGACAAAGGACAGGAAGCAAATTCCTATGACTGAATAAGGTGGAACAAGATGAAGAGAAATTATTGACAGCTCCTAGCAGGTACAAAAAGGCATGTGCTGTACTAGCATAGTAACTGTGCTTGAAGATGTCAGGAGACACAATGAGGACTACATAACATCACATACATAATATCCCTTCCCCACTGTATCATTATGAGGAATCCTGGACATCTCACTTACATGTGCCCATCTTGGTGCTTCTGAATATACAGGTATGGGACAAAAAGTGAACAAACTTGCTTTTTGTTTTTTTTTTTTGGAGGAAATCACTTTGCTTCCTATCAATTCTGGATTACAGCTTTGCAACATTACTGCTACAACACTTTCTTGTTAGAAGAGTTCCAGCAGAATGGTTCTTGTTAAGGACTACTACGTGGTCCAATCCTGTGCCATTTTCATTTCTGTTCATCCTTTAAAGATCCCACAGTAGCGCACATCAAAAAGGAATTCAAACTCCAGAGTGACACTCCAACTGCATTTAAACCCCTCAGTTCAAGCACCTGGATGTGCAGTAGTTGTCTAGGTTCCTGTCAAGGAGAATCTATTCAATACATCTAAAGCAATACATGAAATATATTTTGAATTCAGACACATGGTGCACCTGTGGATGTATTCTAGCCTCCACAACTTCCTGAACTTAACATTCAAGTGTGGTCACATTTAATCAACATAACCAACTGCCTCTGAATTCGTTCTGCAGGTTGGGTATGATTTAAAATTCTCTCCTGAATATAAAGGAATCCCTTACAAAACAGCCTTTGGGTGAAGTTACTGAATTAACAATTAGAACCATGAATATTCCCACTGTCATGTTGGGCTTACTATGGCAGCAGGCTTTCAAAGACTGTGGAGAGAGAAAACTGGCATGCCACATTTAAGATTATAGACATTAATTCCCAAATTGAGTGTGATAAGGAAGAAGCATGTTCAGATTCAGCACCAATTCAAGAAATCAGAGAAATTTCTAAGAACTTCATCTAATAATTTAATCTCTAATTCTCACCTATTAGCTTGTTTTCCTTGACAAAGCATCTGAATTCTGCACCAGGAATTAGTTCACACCATTTGCGAAGAACAAGCTACAAAGGGAAAAGAAATGACAAAACATTGTTTCAGAGGGTAATTTCATTTTTTTTTTTTTAAACAGGGATATCTTCTAGATCTGTCAACAGTTTTGCTGCAATAGTAAGACAATCTCTGATGTTAATTCTTATACCAGACAACAAAACAATCTTACCCTGCAGTTCATACAAACATGGAATGGGTTGGGTTGGAAGGGACCTTAAAGATCCCACAGCCACAGGCAAGGCTGCCACCCAGAAGATCAATTCATACAATTATCTTTGGAAATACTTGAAAGAATTTGACCCAGCATTAATTTACACATGATGAGAATGCAAAAATAAAAATCATCCTAATAGGCAATAATTTCCCAATTTAGAGCCCCCTTTTCTGAAGGCCAATGTACTTAAACACTGATGTCCAGAAAATAATGTAGTAAATGCCACTTCTTCCCACAGTTACATGTTTGGTGCGTGCCACGTTGTCAATATATACATCTGGAGTTCCACATTCCAAGACCCTGGGTATAGCTGTTATATTCATAAGCCCTCTGTGACTGCACAGAAACAGGCCACTAGCACTGACTACATCAGATGGTCATGAAGTCCTTCATGGGAGGATGAGAAGTTGTACATTGAAAGAAGAAAGTTCAGACTGGGCACAGGAAGAAACTTTCTTACCATGAGGACAGTCCAGCATCTCAACAGCCTCCTTAGTGGGGTGCAACAGCCTCCAGCCACTGAGGTTTTTACAACCACATTTGACAGCACACCACAAACCCAATTTTATCTCACAGCTTACCTGGCTCTGAGCACAGAGAATTTAAACATGAAGTTACTTATAAAACAACTTCTAAGTTGTGTTAATGATAAAGCATGGAAAACAGAAAACCATGGCACAATAAATCTGCCATGGAGTTGGCAGAAAGTTGCTCTCTAGTCAAAAGAGCTGATGGGAGAACTCAATTTAATTTAACCAGATCAAGCCCTGCTGTGGTATACATCCAAGCAGAATTCTGTGATGCCTCTGAAAGCACAAACTGGTTATAATAAGGACACAGGAACAAAATAGTAAGCAAACCATTATCATGAACAGGAGAGAATGCCCAATAATTAAAGCATATTTCCAGCACTCTCTGCTTTTCCTAAATTGGAGCATTCAGATACGTTCATTCTTTCAAGGGTCTCAGTTACTGCTTGTGGGCACTGGAAACTCCCAGCAATATCAACTGCAGTATAAAAAAAAACCATAACCAAATGTTCCAAACTACAGAGTAAATATGAAAAACTCTTCTGTATCTTTAAAGCCCATTAAGATAGCGCTTCAAAACAGTGCTGATGCACTTTCCCAAAGCCCTTTTAAACCCAAAGGATGATGACAAAAAGCTGTATTTACATAAAAATTATTAGAGACATAACTAGATGCTATCATAAAACAGACAGCACCACAAGAACTGTTTAATGCAGTATCTGAGTTGCTAACAAAGTATTTTAATGCAGCAGAAAGCATATCTAATGAGATAATATAGATCATTTCAGTTCTTAGTAATCAGCCACAAACCCCAGCCATCACAGCTAGCTTCTCTTAGTAACTTCAGCCATGATGCTCCCAAGAAACACATTATAAGGAAAACACAACTCTCAGCTATTGAGCTTCAGCTTCCTGGCAAAACTGGACAGACAAAAACAGAAAGCTGTAAGGAAGCTTCACGCATCTGAACTTCAGCTTGACTCTGACCCACAACTAAATGAATACTTAATGACCTCCAGTTCTCAACCACACTTCCCCAGCAACACAAAACAAACAAAAAATTATTTTTGGGCACATACTCAAGCACAAGTGGCTGCCTGCCCACATGTAATTCACTTAAGTTAACCTAGGAATCATAGAGAAAGTCTTACCTCATAGTTCAAGGGAGGATCAGGGGAGTCATCAGTACAGTGAATAAATCTGGAAGAGTCACAGGCACCAAAATATGCTTTTAGATATAAGGCTCTAGCCACAGTGAGGAAAAATTACTCCAAAAATGTTAATTCCAAATCCACAGCTAAATTACCTCTAAGACAGATAAAGGAAGCAATTTCAGTGTGTCAGAGACAAAACAAGACAACTGCTTTCCACAATTATAAACAATCGCCCTTTTTTGATGTAGTGTAGTTTGGAAAAGCCTAAATTTGTACAGGAACTTTGGCTAAAACCTTATTCAAGGTTGAGTTTTTTCCTTGAATTAACAGTGCTGCTCCTTTTGTCTTTATTGATATGCAGGCATAACTGGATTCTCAAGCACAAAACGAACATTAAGAGCGCTAAGGAAACTATGCTGCAAGGAAACTAATGAAATTGTTAACATTAACTTCCTAAACCAGATAACCAAGACACATCACTGTGCCTTGCAGCAGTTCAGGATTACTTTCATTTCTATGAACAGGAGATGCAAAGCAGTGCTGCTCAACACTACTGATTCCTCAGCATGGTGTTTTGCTAAGTTAAAGAGCCTTAAGAAATACTCTTAGAAATCTCCTGAGAGTGAAAAATGAACAAAACCACTTCCATAACTGCAAGCAGATGTCAAGGTTTTGTCCTTGTGAGCAGCTCACTGTGTGCCACCATCCGGGAACTACCAAGAACTGAGACAGTTATATCCAAGATAATTTCTACACACGTTTTTGCTATTACACAGCAGGTTTTGATAATTCCCTTTGAAATTACAGGAATTATTGCAAGAGAGCATAAATCTTCCACCCAAACACACTTCCTGACCATACTGGCAACAAACTATTTTGATGTGCAGAACTGTGCTACGGGTCACTACTGAGCAACAGTCTTAAATGGCAACATTTCTCCTGTCTCCCTTTGGCACTGAATTTAAGCAATCCAGAAGCCTAACATCTCTCCTCTAAGCAGCGCACTGTAAGATGTGGCTGCTCAAAGCCTTTACACTTTGTAAGCAAAGCATCACACTGCCCAGCCTTCAATCTAAGGCTAAGGGCTCTCCTAAGAGCTTTCTCAGTATGCTGCCAGAAGAAATAAATTTTTAGTTTAGGCTTTAATATTCACCACACAGAGCAGAGCAGGCTTTCCAAAAGTAAATCAGAGACCACATATCTGTAAGTCTATGTATACAGATAACAGCTACAGTTTATATTCCCAGCAATTTAAGATCTGTCAAGGCAATAGAAACACTCCTGAGAGCTTGCAGTTTTGCTATCCTAAAAATTCCCCCCATTGCAATCATATCTGCTTACTGTGCTCAAGAAAATACTCCCCACACAGCAAAATAACCATAAACTACAGGTAAAAAGGCAGCCGAAACCTAACATGCAGTGTTCCACAGTCCCTGCACATTCAGACCTGCATTACCTTTCAGAGAAATCCATATTTGAGATTGGGGTATCTGTAATCTGCTCCATTTCAGTTAGATGCAATCTTTCCCAGCTGTCAAAAAACAGCCTTATAAAAAAGTCAAAACTAACCCTTGCTAGCATTGATATTTTGGGTGGAGGCTACATGGGTGGAAGGGGGGGAGGGGGAGATATCTTCTGTACTTTTCTATTTCTTAGCAACTTGTTCCAGCATTAACTGTCTGGACAGCTGAATTCACCCATTGCACAGAGCCTTTTCAACATCAGAGGCAGAAGGCTAAGCAGAGTTTCTTCCAACTGCATCCTCTGCAGGCTTGGAGGTAACTGAAAGAGCATCAGAGAGACCTGAGGACCACAAAATTAAAAGATACACCAGCTTCCTTTTCTGAAACCTCTGAAAATTATCATTTTAAATACTAGTAAGCACAAAGGAGTTAAACTCTGCTGCTTATTGATCTTGTGGTGTGGTCAACAGCTTGTTTACAGATTTACACTTAGATATCAACAAGAGAATGATCAAGGCCTTTTTTTAAGTAGCAAATGCACGTTAATCTCCAAATGCATACAGCTGACAACAGCACCCACTACACGAAGCAGCATGCAGCACTGAGAAAAATGACTTAAGAAGGTTTGAAAAATCTCCAGTACCCATCATGCCATGAGAGCAATGAACTGAGATTATCATCACACAATAAACAATTAGCAATATGAGAGCTGCAAGAATCACTTTGTACCAGACAGTTCTGCTGAAGTCTTGTAGTTTTATTTAAAACCTTAATAAAAAAAAATTAAAGATATATTTCTATATTACTACCTGCACTGCAAATTCCTAGGGAAAAAATGGGCATTTGAGTAAAACCTCAAGAAAAGAAAATGTCTGAGGCATCATATTCCACATCACCTCACATGGAACTGTTTATCCTGAAATATGTTATATTCAAGTCTTAAGTACTGTCCTTGCAAAAAAGGTACCCTGATTTCCAAATCACTTCTTCATGAGCCAAGGCTGCCTCCTATGTTCCATCAGGAGAACACAGGCTGCCACCCTTCCACATCAGGGAAAAAAAGCTTCACAACTTCCTACTAAAAAGAAAAATACTTCCTAGTTGAAGGAATCACATTTAGTGCCAGCAGAGCCATTTTTGACTCTCTTTAGTCAGGCATTTTGTGAAAGTGATCAGTTATGAGTAACAAGGATCCAGGTTTGGTTGGTTTCACCTGCTTCTGCCTGTGCCAAAGTGCAGTACCGGCCAAGAACAGCTTTTGCATGTGGGTGCTTTTGACCAAGGTTGAACTTCAGATATCTGATTTCATCTCTACTGATGGTTGTTTAATAACCACAAAAATGCTGTGAGGTTCAACGCCCCAACAGCGACACCTGCAGATCTGAAAAGCTCAGCACTACACTGCAGAATCATAGAAACATCTCCCAAGTTCAACAAAATTCCTAAGGTTTGTATTCTGCTTATTAGTGACAACAAGCCTATCTCTGAAGGGCACTACCCTATCATTAAAACTATTGCTACTGTTTATAGCAGCCTGGGGGGGTATTTACTTTTAACAAAATGCAGCCCAAACGTTCTAATAATTAGCAAGAAAGCTGTGTAGTAGCTGCACACTTCCTGTTCAAAAGAGGAGTGTTGATCGCTTAACAGAAATCCCAGTTAGAAAGGGATTTCTTCTGTCACACAACCACAACGTTAAGTTCTTGAAAGCCTACATTAAAAACTGGAAAGTCAAGGATCACACCACCCACAAGTTTCCTGTGAACTCAGCAAAGTAAAATGTAGTGCTTACTTGAAGCAGAAACAATGACTATGTTAACGAGAACGTTGCTCTGAAGTCTTTGCTAATTTATGGCTGTTCCAAGAAGAAAGTTAACTCATTCTGAGCTTTTAAACCAAACAAGTGCCAGCATGATGAGAAAATCCAAACATTTAAATAGTCAAAGCTTATCTAGTCATGCTCTGTATCTGCAATAAGGCCGTATTTTTCATGGTTTGTGTTAAGATATTGCATAGCGGAAGTTTTCTCAGAACTGGAGACAGTTAAGAATTGCAGCAAGGGCATTTCCCTGACCTGAACAACAGATAGATCAATATCAGAGAAGCATACAGGAAACAAGAGAAGAGGCAGAGAAAGCGCTTTAATTCCCACATCACTGGCAACGCTACATCAAGAAACAGTTCTTCAGCTTGCCATTGTAAAGTCTTCTCTGTGTCACAACCCTGGAAGTATATTTTTAAGTTAACACCACTGAACAGAAAAAAGAATAAACAAAAATCTCAGCTGTTAATTATGCAGGCCAAGAAGCTTTTAGAACACAATGAATATTAATGAAAAAACAGAAACATAGCATTTCTATCCCTTCTCTATCCCTTACTGTGATCAGCCTCTCTCCAAGGATTTAGATATATTATGTTTTCAATTTTTGTTTGTTCAGCACTTTGGTTCTTATGCCAACTGCACTTCTAGTTTCTGCTTGCTAGGACTGTGGAGCTGGCAGCTAATCAATAGCTTAATTAAGCCCACCTCTGTAACTCAGCAATAATTATTTCTGTGTTTGGATGGGGACATTTTGTATTAATAACTTGGCAATTAAGATATATCATGCAGAGACTGGACAATAATTTGTTCTTTATTCACAGGTTAAATTGTTCTTTATTCACAGGATACACAGAAACCAAAGTGCTTTTACAATGAGATGTTCATCTTGTTTTAAGGTCCATTTCCACCCAAATTCACAGACCTTACAGGAAGGGAAATAAACGGAGTGCTTCTCAAATGGAACTTCACCTTAACCTTGGGATTAGGTGACAATCTGACAAACACATCATGAGGTTGGTTTACCTACCACCCGCGGAGTTGCATTACCCAACTGTGCATCCTACTTTAGCACTCTGGAAGAGGAGTGCAAATGGACTGAAGTAGGACAATCTGAGAAGCTTTTCTGCTGGAGGTTACTTCTCCCAAGGCAGGATCAGTAGATGAGAACATACCTGCTAAAGGCTGCTCAGCCAGCACTGCTTTTAGTCTGGTGTGAATCTAAGGTGAAATTACTGATGGCTCAGGTTAACACCCATGCTGTGAAATTTCACAATATAGGACTGCATTCGCTGCCTCCTCTGTAAGTCAGTGCTGTCTGCAGAGGTCAAGATGAACAGCTGGGGCACTAAGCTGGCCTGATGCGAGATAAAAACCCTATGAGAAAATGCACCAATTGCAATCCCAGTGAAGGTAATCGAGCCAATCCTTTCTACCATATAAATGCATAACCTAAAAGCACAGGACTGCACACACAAAGAAGTTGAGTTGCCACAGCTTTCAAAGTGCACAGTGCTTTCCAAACACTTGACTGTGTCCCAAACATTAGAATGGGGTTAACCAAACAAGCATTCACCAAGGGGGGGGTTGGTGTAATTGTTGCTCAATTTTTTTATGACAGTAGAATACAAAAAACCCACAGATATTCACAAAGGAAACAGATATTTTTTCACAAAGCGTACAGATATTTTCAGACCCCTGAGGTACTTCCAGCCCTACAAGCAGTTACAACAAAGATCACATCAGGACAGTTTGCTCCAAGGGTTATCAGGCCAAGCAGCCTGGCCTCCCATCAGTGGAAATCACAAAGAGAAGCTCCTTAGTAAGGCAACTCTGAAATGCAGATGGCATCTCTTAGCATTTTCATTCTCTGTGATCCCAGAACTTTAAATTCACAGTGCTTCCAACTGTTTTCCCAGTCTAACACACTTCTCTAACTGTCTTATCACTCCAACATCATCTCCCCTCCTTCCCATTCTCCTCCTTTCCACCTCATACTGTTACAGGTTGTATCTAACGTAAAACACAGTATCAGAATCGGACTGACAGCACTGCTAGCACTCCATAAATGCAGAGATAAGGATGAGGATGTTGTTATCTATTCATTATTTCAAATGTACCAACAGATCACAGGGGAAAGGAGCGCTGAAAAGAATCAAAAAGGAAGGCAGGAGTTGCACTGCATTAATACAAATGGTTTTGTGTTTTAGACAATACAATTCTCACCAGGTTGTTACCTACATAAGACAAGACTACTGTGCTTGATAAGTCTCTACAAAGTAAAAAAAAAAAAAAAAAACAAGAAAATCACCCCAAAACATTAAAACACCACTTGCTTGAGAAAGCAGCTCAATAAAAAAAACTAAGGCCTAATCACTAATGGTGTGATTTTACATGCTGTACTTCTGTAGGTCTTCCTGGTTTGTTTTTTTTCCCCACTCACTTACATATCAAAATTAAGCCAATTAAGTATAAGAAGAAAATGGAGCCTACTTCTCTCCTGTTCACTGAAATTAGGTAAACAACTCCAGTTTACAAGAAATTACTCATTTATGGTAAGTAACACTGACGATAATTTGCCTCACAATTCTCTGCAGTAAACTGGCCCTGGTATTTATTTTTGTGTGGTGCAGGGAGAAAAAGAGGAAGATGGGAGAACGTTTCAAAGAACAACTACTTACTGCACTTGAGATTTACTCGATGGACAACTTTTATACAACAACATGAAACTTTTTCTCAAACACTGATTGTTACCCTTCAGTAAAGAACACCAAGGTACTGACAAACTACCCTCTGTGGGTTAGGGTTTTGTTTTTTAAACTAGATAAGGCTGCTAGAAATCTACTTACGGCTGAGTGAGGTCACGAGTAATGAAGTCTGAACTTTTGAAGAGGAGGAAAATGTCACTTAGAGCTTTACATTTCAGAGAGCTATTCATTGCAATCCAGTAAGCATCCTACACAGGAAGAAAAAAAAGATTATCCAAAAACGCAGCTTTTCTAGCAGAGAGTAATGCAAGCTATTGATCTATCAGAACTAAACATTATGCAACAGTTGACACACATACAGAAAATGATTTTTGGATTTTGAGGAAAGCTTCATCGGCTGTTAACACAGAATAGTTATGTCTCTTATGAATAGTCTGCTGAAAGTAGACCAAACCTATTCAAAAATGAAGTACATGCCTCACTTCCAAGCACTTTCCCAGAATGCTTGAACACTAATCTTCCTTGAGAATATAATACAAAATCACTTAGGGCATCCACTGTTAAGGTGTAGTTAGAGCGCCTAAAAACAGCTAGAGGGAAATTTACTGCCTTTTTAAAAGAGGAGAAACGATTATTTTTCTTTTTATCCCATGTAAGGTTCTCAGCTGATATCCTGAACGAGGAGAGCATGGCACCACACTGTTACCTGGAGCAAAGACAACTAGATGTTATATAAGACAGACAGTGCTACCTTGCATCAGGCTCACCAAACACCACACCGCTGAGCTCTAATTCACCACAACAATTTGCTCTATCAAACTTAACTGATGTCATTTATCTTTCCTTCCTTATCAAGCTCACTAGTCTGCTCTATTTTCCAATGCATTAAGATAAACCAAAACATTCTGTGCGATAGCATCTGCTACTAGTTTTTGGAGTCAGCATCCTTACCCTTGGAGCACTCCAGTTTAGCTTAGGAAAAACACTGCCACCTAAGGAACTGATGGCTTCTTCAACTTTAGCTGTGAACTCTGGGAACTCTGGTGCCTGAAGAAGGAACAAGAGAAAGACAAGAAAAAAAAAAGAATAGTAAATGTCTTATGTAAATAGTTAACACAGAACTTGAGTGACAGCTCACTTAACTTTTGGTTTTATAGAGTGTTTCTAAAAACATTTCAAATAAAATCTTTAAAGTAGCTTAGTAATACAAGCCAACTTGCATCAGAATCAGGACACACTGTGAGGCTACATGCTGGAACTGAAAATTTTGACTTACAAAGGATATTGCAACAACTATAAGCATAAGATAGGAGAAAAACAGCCAAGAAGCCATAAGCTCCACTCTTAATCTCAAACAATAAAAAAAAGCCTGACTGCTGACCTTTAAAATAATAGGAAAGTATTTGTATGCGTTTCAGACGTTTTAAAGATGCACAGGTCTAAAGCCAACGCTATTCCTACCTACATCTGCAAGTGTAACCCAAAGGTAACTCCTAGGTTAAAGCCCACTGAGCTCTAAAACAACAAAGCCCTCACAGCCATACAAGTGACCATAAAAACTTCATACAGTCTTATACATCCATCCTGCAGCCCCTCACAGACTGCACACGCTTTAAATAACTCAAAAAAAGAAAGTACAGCAACCTAAACTGAGCTTCATACATCCCTATTTTTCCTCAGTACATTATCCAGTCTCTGTGGGAAACCACACTTGGAAAACTGGAATAAGCACTTCTTCTATTTCATTTTTAGAGCTTCAGTCAATTTTAAGGAAGAAAAAAGAAAAAAGCATTTCAGTAAGAAGTAAAACTCTTTATGCAGTGCATTCTGACCTCCTCTTGTTCTGATGGAAGCCAGGAGCCATACCACGTATGTAATGCCAGTACATATAAAAACTCACTGAGAAGACATTGCTATCATCCCATTTGATTAATACAAGTGAAAAAAACATTACACAAAAAAAGAGCTCTAAGGCAGCATAAGTAAAATTCTAACACTGACCAAATTCTGGATGTTTGACATTTGACATCCTATGTTCTAATTCTTCTTCAGGAGATATAGAAGGGGCAAGGGAAAGAACTTCTACCTCGTGACTCAGGTGGGGCACCAAACAGAAATAATTATAGTCACAATCCATCTTACAGCTCAATAAAAGCAGATGGGAAACCAATCATAATCCAGGATTTACCATTAGTGTAATGCTGTAATGGGATGATAATAGCAGGGTGGCAACCTTTGGTTACAGCAAATGAGAACAAGCCCAAATGTAGCAGCCACAGATACAGAAATGAAGGAAAAGAGCTGCTTACCTTTGGAAGGCCTCAGGTAGGCAAGGATCTCCAGCAAGAGATGCCCCCACCTCCATTGCCATCCCTTTAACCAGGTCTGGGAAGAGGTAGATCCTGGCTCCACCCCTTCCAGTCACTCAAGTGCATTGCTTGCACCTGAGCTCCCCTGGGTTACCTTTCCCTCCCTGGGTTACCCTGCCTTCCCACCTGTTGCTCAGTCGCTGTTTCAGGCCATGACTTCGCATTTCCACTGCCATTAGGAAAACAGAGTGCCCAAGGCTGCAGGACACTCTCCAGCCTCCCCTGCTTTTCTTTATACATCACTGTTCCTATTATCTCCCTATTCACCTTCCACACTGCTGCCTGATCCATTCTTGTGTTCTGCAGTAACCCTAGGCACAGCTCCCAGCTTTGTGCTTTCTAGACAGGCTGTTTCCTCATTCTCTTCATCACTGCCAGAGTGATAACATGCATTACCTGGAAGCACAGGAGACTACTCCCATTCACTCTTTATTCCCAGAACAGCCCTTAGTTTGCACACAGAGAAAGCATATTTATCAAGGTGCCTTCAGACTGATTACCTCCTCCCAGATTTACAAGAAGGTACATGGCACATTGTGAATTTCTACTTCAGATTTTTTTGGTGCATTTCTGTTGGAAATAACCATGGGCACAGCCCACACCCATAATCAAACATTTTCAAAGTTGCAAGGTTGATGAAAGACAAAGCACAGCCAGTCTCTGAACAAAAGCCATCCTGTAAGCTCGAAGTTCTCTTCTTCCTCTACCTGTTTTGCTGCTAAGTAAGATATTCTATGGTATGGAATATCCCTTAGGGCAGTTTAGGTCAGCTGTCCTGGCTCTGCCCCTTTCTCTATGCTTCCCAACAATTGGGTTGATATTGGAGAGAAAAATGAGGACACAGTCAGAAAAGAGAAAGTCTTGATACTACACAAGGACTGCTCAACACTCAAAATGTTTGTGTTATAAATACTGTTTCAGACAAATCCAAAACACAGCACCATATGGGCAGCTCTGAAGACAACAAACTACATCCCAGCCAGTCCTAGTAAAACTGGAGTTGTAGGGCTGAAATCCACACACAATACACAGTTCCTTACCTGACTAAACTGAAATCACTTGCCCTGTACCCTTCCAGTGGATATAATACATCTTAGGATGTATTTTCATACTGTGTTGTGTAAGGTTCCAACCTTAATGATTCTGTGATCCTGATTCTAAGCTGGGCAGAGCACAAAGAGAGCATTAAAACAAGAAAAAGGGGAAAACAAGGCAATAGAAAGCAAGGTACTTAGGAGGAAATAATGGCAAAGGTACAAGAGAAGTTCTCTGAAAACTGAGCTGCAGGGACTTCATTTCTTCTGCATTCAGTTCAATTAAGTAATTGGAAGACAATCAAAGCAGTGAAAATAAAAGGCAGCTATATTTAGACTAATCCTTCAGTTCATTTCCTATATTCTAAAAAGCATGTGATTGTTGGGAATGAAGAAAAGAAGCACTTTATTTTTAGTTAAATAAAATAAAGCCAGCAGAACGTTTTTAAGGTTGCAAACACCTACACTGCCATCTAGTGAGAAGGATCAGAAAAATGTTAACTGCAGCAGGTATCAGTCACTGGCCACAGGTTTCTATCACAAGGCTCAGAAAGAATATTGCTTACAGACCCACAAGCTGGGATTTTAGAGGACCTTACCTTAAGTGTTGCAGTATTCTCATCATCTGACCACTGTCAAGAAAAAGAACAAACCCAAGGTCAATGGCTTCCCGTGACATCACTTATGAGAACATCAGAATCTACACAGCTTCCTACAACATGTAAAAATCACTGCCCTGACTATTCTGCAGAAAAATATGCCTCCAATTATTACAGTTACAAATTAAGACAGGAAAAATTATGTACATTCAATAGAAGTACTGTTGTGAAGTACAAATAAGAGACAATACCCATATAAGACGATTGCAATTCATACACAAGACTGCAGAACTCTGTAGAGTCTTTCCTACCTAAACCTTTGCCTCCCACACTTCTATCATTAAGGCTTGTGAAGGTCTTGGAGAATACACCCTATGAGGAGAGACTGAAGGAAGTGAGGCTGTTGAGTCTGGGGAAAAAGAGGCTGAGGGGAGACCTTACTGCTCTCTTAATCTGAAAGGTGCTCACAGTAAGAGCGGGGTTGGCCTCTTCTCCCTGCTGACAGGTGACAGGATGAGGGGAAATGGCCTTAAGTTGCACCAGGATAAGTTTAGGTTGGATATCAGGAAAATCTTTTCAGAAAGGGCTGTTCAGCACTGGAATAGGCTCCGCAGGGAGGTGGTTGAGAGACCATCCCTGGATGTGCTTAAAAACCGTTTGGATGTGGTGCTCAGGGACACGATGCAGCACAGGGTCGTTAGTTAAGGTAGTATGGTCAGGTTGTGGTTGGGCTCAGTGATCTTTAAGGTCCAACCTGAGTGATTCTATGATCCTGTGATTAAACCCACAATCCATTAGTCCTCACTTACCTTCCTTTATTCTCACCCCTTTTGTAATTCCTGTCACCTTGCTTTCATAACACCTTCCAGTATTTTTTAATTCTGCAATACCTCTCTGAGTTATTACAGCCTTAAGGACTTTCATTATTTCTTGACGTAACTCCTCTAAATACACTCCTTCTAATCTTTCATGGCATAAAACAGCAATATTTTCCACTTCCATTATCTCACAGCATTCCCTGGTCATTATTAGAAATGTAATTAACAAGAAAGTGTGAGAGAGCACAGAAACACTTCAAACTTTTCTTGATGTCACAGTACAAATAATTATGTTTGTAAACTTCTTCTAAGGCAAATAACACGTGATAACCATTTTGGTGAAGTACCATCCTCACTTGTAAAGCATGCAGAAACAGTTACACGTTAACATCAAGTCTCTAAAGGAAAAACAAAGTTGAGGTATTACTGACCTGTATTTCTTCTGCATCATCACTCCCCTCTGGGGTTTGAGTTGGTGGATCTTCTCTGAGCCAAAAAATGAGCAGAGAAAAAAAACCAAATGAGCACTGGACTTTGAATTGACCACATGTATTATAATTCCACAGCAACTACCAACTGCTGATCTCAGAATGCTTTCCTAAGAGGATTAAGCCTCAAAATCTCAACAAAGAAAGCCAGAGCAAGCCAGTACAGAAAAACTGAAGACAAAACACCCCAACATTGGACTTGCACCCTGTCCAAAACACTGGGATTCTTTCTAATGAAGAAACCACTTTCTGCTCTGAACACACTGTAACCCAAGCTTTTCCACACCCTATTAATCATTCTTTTTGATCTTTTCTGTACTCACGCAGTACCACTAACTTGTTTTTTTAAAAGATCAGCTTAAATTATGCTTTGCCTTCACACTCCTTTTCAAGCAAAAAAAAAAAAGACCTGAAAATTCAAGTTTCAAATGCTGACCCATAGACTGTTGGTTCTGAAAACAAAACACCCTCACACTTTGCTCACAGAAGATCCTACTTGAAGTGGTTACGCAGTCATTAGCTTCCTCCTGGAAAGTTCCTTTTTCTACACAGATGAGATGTGCTGCTGTACACATTAGCAGCTCTGGGAGAAAGCACTTGAGTGCAAATACTCCCTTGAAATTTGAAGTGACTTCTGAAGCTTTTTTTTAGCCAATATGACTGAGTGGTCTTTAAAGCAGAAGAAGAACAAGAAGAAGACAAGTTAGCATAGCAATCAGGTTAAGTTCAAATCTCCGCAGCTAAGTGCTACTAGCAAAAATTCAGTTCCTCAACAAGCCACATTTCTGCAGTACATTCTTTAATGCACTTTCACAGGGATCAAACTGTCCATTCACTTTTTGAGATCTAGAGCTCAGATCAGAGGCTCACTGAGGTTTAAAATTCACAACAGCATTGACTGTAAGAAGATCACATTGACTTTTAACACTTCCAGCTAAGAATGTTCAACTCAAGAGAAAAATGAGGTTTTAGGAGGGAATTTTAAATTGGAATTATTTAATATAACTGAAGTCAATTATACAGATGTCCATTATTCCACTGAGATACCAAACCTGTTCATACAGCACAGCTGTGAACTCAGAGCATCTGTTTCAGCTTTTCTGAAGTCTGATTACAAATTAAATGGCTGTTATTAAATAAATTACAATGTTCTGCAGAAGGCAGCAACGTTGCTTCTTATCCAAAATGGTTTTAAAGATAATTCCCACTTTTCACCTTTATAAGGCGTTTAAACAGCTTCAATTCTGTGTGAATTGGCTCCTGAGAAATTAGACCTAGCTCCCTTATATTCACAGTCTAATTGGTTGCTCTGTGGAAGACAAACTCCTCTGAGTCTGGTTACCAGCAAGATGCGTGCATGCAATAATCATTTTATAAGGGAGTTATATGGTGAGATTCTAAGCCAAAAACAAAGAATAAAGCCTGGGTTCATATAAGTTGTTTTTCATAGACACCAATCTCACTCTTCATTCAGAATGTTAGCATTGGTATACAGGCAGTACATTCAGCCTCATCATATGCACTGATTATAGGCAAGCAAATGATTATATCACATCAGTAATTAGTAAGATTTCATATTTGATTTACATTATTGAGAATTCAACTCATGTAAGGACACTCCATCTCTGTATGAGGCTGCAGGCATGGGAATGCTGCAGCACTGTTCAAGGCACTGAGCTGCAACCAACTGTACCAAAGCAACCAAACACCTTCAGGATGGGCACTGACACCTGAGAACTGTTAGACTCTGGAAGGACAAATAAAAAGAACTGCCCCTATCTAGTCTGGAATCACACACATCATATGGATTTGGGGATCTGCATTAAGCATTAGCAAGTAAATTTTACTAATAGCACTAGTTTGTACAGACACATTCACACACTACAAGGTTTACTGCAGTGAGATGGGTCAAATTTACAAAATTAATTATGTAAGTTACAATAAGTGAACACAAATATCATTGTTACAATAAAACAGCACTAATACTTGCATGGTGGACAGTAAACACTCTTTACCTTCCAGAAACCACAAGTGTTCCATCATCCAGCAAATATTCTTTCACATTCTCTGGTAGGGGAAGTATGACACTAGGAAAAGAAAGAAAGAATTACTTTAATAATTTATTAATAACATCACTTACTAAAACAGTTAGATAATTATTTTTTAATGGAAAATACCATAGTAGTACGCTTTCTTCTCTAACACTAAGAAAATACAAATTTCTATTGCTTCCCCTCACTTTCTCCCTTTCTCCCTAAAGGAAAGTATGGGAGAAAGGCAGAATTTTTTTTTTATGAAATGAACAAAACCACTCTAACTTTACAAACCGCTAGGAAATACAAATAAAGGATGCATGGACAGTGCAGGGGGACAACATGTTGTTCAAAATAAAGTTCTTCCGTCAGAGATGCAAATCTAAATTTGTCTATATCAACATAGTGTTCCAAATATTATAGAACCCTTTTAATTGGAATGGATACCCAAAGGCCATCTACTCCAACTATCCTGCAATGAACAGAAACACCTACAGCTACATCAGGTTGCACAGAGCCCCATCCAGAGCCTAACCTTGAAAGTCTCCAGGGATCGGGCATTCACCACATCTCTGGGCAACCTGCTCCAGTGCCTTGCCACCCTCACCAGGAAAGACTTTTTCCTTGTATCCAACTTACATCTTCCTTCTTTAAGCTTGAAACCATTTCCCCTTGTTCTGTCACCACAGACCCTGCTAAAGACCCTGTCCCCTTCTTTCCTACAGCCCCCCCTTAGATCCTGGAAGGCCGCTCTCAGGTCACCTCACAGCCTTTTCTTGTCCAGATTAAACAGCCCCAGCTCTCTCAGCCTTTCCTCATAGGAGAGGCATTTTATCGCTTGGATCATATCTGTAGCCTCTTTGTAGCCCTCCCCTCCAGCAGGTCACATCTCCCCTGTACTGAGGACTCCCCACCTGGATGCAGCACTCCAAATGAGGCCTCACGAGCACAGGGCAGTAAGACAGGATCACCTCCCTCGCCCTGCTGGCTTCTTTTGATGCAGCCCAGGATACAGTCGGCTTTCTGGGCTGTGAGGGCACACTGCTGGCTCACATCCAGCTTCCCATCCACCATTACCCCAAGCCCTTATCAGCAGAGCTGTGCTCCATCCTTACATCCCCCTTCTCTTACTGCCAGGGTGCTGCCACAACCCAGGCACAAGACCTCGCGCTTTGCTCTGTTCAACCTCACGCGGCTCAGCTGGGCCCGGCGCTGCAGCCCGCCCAGCTCTCCGGATGGCAGCCCGTCTCTGGCGGTGTAAACACGCACGGCTCTCACTAAACGAAATCACAGACGGAGTTGGGAGGGACCCCAACGCTCAGCTGGCTGCAGCGCGCCTTGTTGCCACCCACTAAAAAGGCAGCAGATCAGGCCGCCAGAGCCCAACCTGGCCTTGACCGAGCTGCCCAAACACAGACGTCGGCAAGCATGAAAACTCATGAAACGATTAAACATTTTGATCACTGAGCCGCTGCCTTAAGATCCGCGCAGGCTTTCCTTGAGTCCTTCCTTCCTGACCGCCAGCACCGCCCCGCTCCCAGCCCCTCACCTGCGGATGGTGACGGCGCGGAACAGCGGGTACCACACGGAGAACTGGCAGCGTGCCACCTGCTCCTTCTTCATCCTCTCCCGCAGCCCGAGCCGCTCTTTTCCCCGCCGTTCCGGAAACTCCCGCTTTCCCCGGAACCTCTTCAGCCGTTCCCGGAGCCGCCCGGAGCTCTGCCGGCTGCGCACACGCCCGCCCCGCCCCGCCTTGCTCGCCGCCGCCGCCTCGCCGTGCAGTTGTGAGGAAGACGCTGGCTGTAAGCCCCGTGCCCTCACGCCAAGGCCAGCTTGCTCCTTCTCATTGCTTTCCTTAAATCTGAGGCTGTCCTCAGCTCTCCTAAGATTCCACTAACCCAATTCTGCTTGTACAAACCTGCCTTTTTCTCTCCATTTATTTTTTTTAATCTGTAGGGCAAGGGCCGGTTAATTATCCCTGCTTTATTTAGTCCTGAGTGGTGTGCAGCAGTCACCCACACGGCTCAATACAAGAGCAGAAATGAAGCGTTTCTCCTGCTGCTTGTCTTTCTCCTGACAGCTTCTCACCAGTTGATTCTGTTATTAGAAAGGTTTTGCTGTAATACAGCTGCAGCTTGGTAACAAATCAGTGTGTGAAAGTCACTCTGGTCACATTAGTGGTTTGTACCTCGCATGCAGTTGGATTCATTGCTCGTAACCAGCACATCATGGTGTGGGTTGGAAGGGAGCTGCAGGATGGTGTTGGATCACCCGGATCCAAGTCCTGCTGTGGGCTGGTTGAAAAGAGATTTAGGAAAGGTAATCTTCCCGCATCCCTAAAACCTCTAGGTAGGACTGGAGCGGTAAATCCCCCCCACTGTGAAGGGGGGGAAGCAGGTCCAAGACCACCTCATGAGACTGAACGTGTACAAGTCTATGGGGCTGGATGGCATGCATCCCAGGGTTCTGAGGGAGCTGGCTGAGGTGGTTGTTGAGCTGCTCTCCATCGTATCTGAAGTGTCGAGGCAGTCAGGTGAGGTCCCAGATGACTGGAGGAAGAGTCACGTCACTCTCATTTACAAGAAAGGAACCAAGGAGGACCCAGGGAACTACAGGTCAGTGAGTTTCACCTCTTGCCTGGGAAGATTATAGAACAGATCTTCCTGGAAGACATGATCACACGAGGAATGAGTGTGTGACTGAGACAGCAAGCACAGCTTCACCAGGGGGAAGGTAATGCTTGACCAGTCTGGTGGCCTTCTATGGAGTGATGGCATTAATGGACAAGTAAAAGGTGACTGATATCATTTACCTGGACTTGAGCAAGGCCTTTGACATGGTCCCCCACAGCATCCTTATCTCCAAATTGGAGAGATGTGGATTTGATGGGTGGACCACCCAAGAGATAAAAAAAAAATTGGTTAGAAGGCTGCAGACAGAAGGTGGTCATTGTATAATCAATGAATATACAGGTGTTATAATTACCACACACAAGAGAATTTGGCTAAGCAGATTATTACAGCAAAGAAAGAATAGAGTGCTTACCCTTGTCTGGGGCTTACTGTAAAAGTCTGAAGGATGAATGTCCAGAAAGAGATCCTTCCCTACTGGTAGTCAGCTCTTAAATGGGTCTAGGAGAGGTGGAGCCAGGCTCCACTCCTTCCATCAGCACAGGTGAATTGCCTTCACCTGTGCTCCCAGAACTGACTCATTGCTCACCTCAGGTGATCAATCAGAGGTTCAGGCCATGATTCAGCAGCTACCATACAGATCATCAATTGCTCTATATCCAACCCTGGCCGTTCTGTGATTCTGTGAATCAATCCATCTGCTGGGAATTGGATAGGCCCCAGTAGCTTGGCTACTGTGTGAGCTGATTCACAAACCATAACTGGTTTTAGATCTTAACATTTGTGAAGGGTAATTTAGAATCTGATGTCAAAAAGATGATGCTTGGAAGGCACTCGCCCAGTAAGGGAACAAGTAATGAGCGTAAAGTTATACATTTCATAATAGTATGACTCTTTCAGGTCTGAATTTGAGCCCCACGTGGTGTGAGTGGAACAAGTAGCGTAGTTTGGAATAATACAGGAATACTAACTATCAAAGTCATCAGAGAAGGTAGAAGCGAGCTGTATAACCAAGATGTTATAATCACAATATAATTGTGTATAATCAATAGATATCAAGATGCCATAATCGCAATATAATCAAGAGAGTAAGGCAAAGCAAATAACAATAACAAAAAAAGAATAAGTGGAAGAGCTTACCCTTCAGCTGAGCTCACCAGAAGACACCAAAAGAGGGGATCTCCAGAAGAGATCCTTCCCCTCTGGTAGCCAGCTCTTAAATAGGTCCAGGAGGGCTGGAGCCTGGCTCCACCCCTTCCGGCAGCACAGCTGAATTGCCTTCACCTGTGCTCCTCTGGCTGACTCAAGGCTCACCTCAGGTGATCAATCAGAGGTTCAGGCTGTGACTCAGCAGTTCCCATACATGAGCTAAGCTTCTCTAATTTTTAGTTCAAATACTATCGATTCATGCTAAGAGGTTGGTAAATGTGGACATTCTAATGTATTCTTAAAGTTTTACTGATAACTGTTAAGTATTGAAATTCGCAGATCATAAGTCAAGCAATCAGGATCCTGCCTGCTGTGTCAGCTGCATTTTTAACTGAAATGCTGCAATGGTAGTTTTATGAGAACCTTCCTGTTTGTGGGCTGTAAGACAACAGCTGTTCTGAAACCTCAGGCAGGGATTTACATTGCAGATTTAGGTACAATTTTCACTTGCAGCAAATGTTTATGAAAAAGAACTGTGCTGCCACTTTTTCCAGGGCACACTTGGCTTATGTGAGATAGCAGAATTACAGCCTTAGACTTAACCGAGAGATATTTCAACTCTCAATTCTATATTCAGTTGGATTTGAAAATACATATATATGTTTTTGTTAGATCTCTTTAAAATGTCACTCATATGTGGAGTTATTGCACCCACTAGTGGAAGAGATCAACACCACGTAATGTGGTACAGATGAGTCTCATTTTTGCCTATTTTAGATTTTGGTGCTATTTCATATAAGCGAAGCTGTCTTCAACAGCTTCTTGTAATTTTAGTCACAAGTTAGTCCTGAATTTGTCCACTGCAGAGAAGAACAAGCTGTGTTGAAAAGAGCTTCTGGCATGAGATAAGTTCCTTGGATGTATTTGTAATTGATATAGTAGGTATTCATGCAGTTATACTAAGCACTAATAACGCTGCATGGGGAGGGTGGGAGATTTTGGATACAACTGTGGCCATCTATATTTGAGAGAGTGATACACCGATGCTGGCAAGTCAATGTAGAAGTGCTATGATGAAGAATGGAACGGGATTTCCTTTGAGAGGAGACTAAAAGAGGAAGACTTATTCAGTCTGCTAAAGGAATAGTGATATGGTTCACTGTGCTCTTTTTGACTGGTACATATTGTCAATCAAAAAAGCAGTAATTCTTTCCAAACACTGGAGATCTATTTTTTTGTATTTAGGGATGTGATTTTTTTTTATACTGTTGAAACTGGATACTTAGGGCATCACACAGGGCCTAGCTGGCTGCTTCCTGTAGACCAGGGAACTCTAAGAGCCCATTTGCTGGGCTTATTTTGCATGTGTTTGGTGGAAATCTTGATACTGTGTGTTAGAGTCACAGCAAGATAATATGGTTATTGTCCAGCCGCATCTCTTAGGTGAGGAGGGCTTGATACGTTGTGGCCTTAAGAACAAAACAGCTAACTGTGAACTAATATAAGACAGACATTGTAAGAAAGTGAGGTTATAGAACAGATTTTCATAGTAGTAGTAGAACAGGAAAGCTACATAGTTTTAAGCTTTGCTTGTTAAAGAAAGGTTTATGCAATGTTTTTGAAATGACAGAATTTGATTTAATTAGTCGGGGTTCCTTTACAAGCTGTATGATACCTAAAGGCAATTTGAAAGCTTAATGGCCACCCTGATGGACTGCATCCAACAGTCTTAAAGAAGAGCTTCCCCTGTGTATTTGGTGAGGAAATGGATTTATATACATTCATTTTAATCCTGCTGATGAAGAGAAATATTTTGTACTATCTACTCCACACTACTTTAAAGAATTAAATACAAATCTTATATGTGAGAAAGGTGATGTAGATTCATGCTTATCAATGTCTTACAGATGAACAGAAACCCAGACTTGCAGGCCACGACCTTCTTGGGCAAATGCATGCACCCCAACACCTCCCAATGAACAAAGGAGCCATCCAGACTTTTGGCTGTAGGGTTGCTGTGACATGGGTGCAAGTGTGCCTAGCTTTCTTTTGAGCAGGTGGCCAGGTTGTGAGAGGAAATCACCAAGCAGCATAGTATCCAGGAATCTGAGGGAGATTGACCATGCAGTGACACGGGCAGACTGACAGCCCTGTCTTAAGTTCATGGAAGGGAAAGAAGCGAATCCAGCTTCCGTCTATGAGAAGATAGACTGCAATAACAAGCAAGATGAGGGAGACTGGACTCATTTCTGCTTGGAGCAGAACAGATGGAAGGCTCTGGGACTGAAAAAAAGCAGAGGGTGCCGGTAACAGTCAAGACAGGAAAGGACAACCATATGAAGTTGATCCAGCCAAGCACCTATTACTAGAACCAGTGCCACCAAAAAAGGCAAAGGTCATTAGTAACAAAGGATCCTCACTGAGAGGCACTGAGGCACCCATTTGCCACTTGGACAACCTCTTTAGAGAGGTTTGCTACCTGTCAAGGGCCCACATTTGTGATATCAAGTGGAATTTATCAGGCCTGAGAAAGCCAGAGCACAGGAGCTCTCTATCCCCCATACATAAAATAAAGCAGGAGAGGCAGCAGGCCGGCATGGCTGAACAGGGACCTGCTGGTTAAACTGAGGAATAAAGAGGAAATACACAGGCAGTGGAAGCAGAGATGTGTGGCCTGGGAAGAGTACAGAGATGCCATCCAGACATGTAGAGATGAGATCAGGAAAGCCAAAGCACAGATGGAACTGAGCCTGGTAGGGATACAGTAAGTAACAAGAAGGGATTTTGTGGGTACATTGGTCAGAAGAGAAAGGTCCGGGAGAGTGTACTCCCTCTGCTAAATGACAAAGGGGTGCTGACAAAAATGGGCAAGGCTGAGGTTCTCAATGGTTCTTTGCCTCAGTTTTCACTGGTAGTCAGGCTTTCCA